TGTAGAGCCAGCATTTGCTTGTACTTGCTTGAGATTTTTAAATAATTTGCCAATTTTTTGTACTGTTTCATATATTCTCAGGGCTCTCTCTATTTTGGAGATGGGACCACTTGGAATTATTGATAGGGGAAGCAAAACAAATGGCGTTTTGATAGGAAACTCTTCACTGGAAAATCCTGGGCTTCCCTCGCGTTCACTTTGTCTGTTTTGGCATCTGGCAGCTGTTGGCAGTGGTCCTCAAGCAAAGTTCCACTATTTCATTTAACACTGAAAAATGAGCCAGGGACATTACCAATGAGCCTATAGGCCCAGTACAAGCTACGGTCCAGTTTTTGAGCAGCACTGATGATGAAGTTGGAATTTCAGTTCATTTCTCATTTCCACTGTAGAGGAAAAGTGACAGAGAACCATAGATGGAAATGTTATTCGATGTATTCTAAGTTTAATCTCACTGAAGTATCATGTTGTATTTAATAATGCTATCTGTCTGTTATGCAAACATATATGCCACAACTGCAATACAATGAAGGGGAAGACAGCGTAATGGACCACACTTGCTCAAACAATAGTTAAAAATAAGTACACCAAACCACTTGAACACCTTTGCCTGCTTATACCAATATAGCTATTGCATGAGTAAAACTTGAAAAATTGCTTTTCTGAATCTGCTAGTTCATTTTAGCTTCTTTCCCTTCCATTGTTTGAAATCATTTGCCTACATAGACAATTTGTGTGAGATGTTTTAACTATTGGAGAGACAGAAGAGCAATACTAGCCAAAATTTCTGTTTGTTGAAAAGATGACACTCTGTTTAACTAACATTTTATGAAAAAGCTTTAATTTGTTCGTGCTAAATATGATTGCAACATTACGGTGTTCAACTTCACAGTGTGTGAAGATTTATAGTTGTCCATGTGCTCACGCCAGCTGCCATGTCAAAAGTCACATGTCTTGACCAGCTGCTAGGATCACAATTTGCAGATGTTGATTAACTCGATGGTTGTAGAATAGTTTCCATGTTCTGTACAGCCATGTATGGGTAATTAGGAATGAAGAAAATAGCACTTTTTGTTTTTGCTGGAGTAGTTTCTTTTGTTGGCTGCTTGCTGACTAGTTTTCATTCATTGTGAACCATAAACTTGATTAGTCATATATTGGCATGATTTTGGTTACAGTGTCTTAGTTCCATCAAATAAACACATTGCTCCCTTCACTAAAATTATGATTGGTTGAACTTTTTTGGATGCGTGGTTATTTTGTCATATGTTTAGAATATAACCCACAAACAAAGGAAGTTTACAATTAAAAAATAAATAAATAACAAGCAAAGTGCATCAGTCCTGAAAAGCAGGATGTTCTGAGATAGCCTTATAACTCCAGCCACAAACTGACTCAAGCCACAGTGACCCAATGGGGAACACTTATATTTGTGGTGTATTCTTACATTTTGGATCCAAAAGTGATTTGCGGTCAAGTCCATGAATAATTCAGACAGTCACTCAAGTAAAATGTCAACAAGAGATTCACTGTTTTTGAAAGAAATATACAAACTTCACAATCCACAAATGTTGAACCCTATCCGTACCCTCTAGTTTGCTAGGGATTGGCTTCACAAATCTGACATGTTAATCTTATGTTTTAAAGTCCTTTCAACTGAAAACAATTAATCATTCATCTTTTGGAGGTGAATTATGTCACTGTTTTCGATGCTATTGTAAAAGCAATTTCATGTTTTTGTTTACTTATGCTGAGAGGCAAGATGTTGAACTTGTGCTATTTTTTGTTTCATATGGGTAGGCCCATTGATTACAATAATATGAACCTTAAATGAGGTACAAACATCTGTAGTTTAACAGCAATTCTACCATCTTATTTATTTATTTATTCAATATTTTACCAGGTAAGTCAATTGAGAACACCTTCTCATTTGCATTGACGACCATAGGATTTTTACCTGTACTCCAGCTCTATATTTTAAACTGTTGTTGGTTTCAGATGACATTACTATATTCTATATGCCAATATTATTTTGTACAAATGGGGGGCAGCTAAAATTAAAATTGCTCAAATGGAGACATATGTTGTAATATAGCATAGTCTTGGGCCTGATCAATAATATAAATGATCAGGTTCCATATTTGGGAATTTAGATTTCTGATATTTTCATGGTAAATGGGAATGTAATTAATAGGAAAACCTTTAGAGTGATGTGATGCAAACCCGGGTCTGACCTAAGTGTACCTACATGCTAACTACTAAAAACTCACTCTGTGTTTGTGCAGTGAGACGACAAAACATGAAAGTGCGCATCAATGCAACAGGAGACACCATCATCATGAAGTTCCTACGTCCCAATCCGGACACCAAACTTGAAGGTTACATCCTGGGCTATGGCAGCAGCATGTTCTCCAAACAGTTCATTCAGCTACCTGAGAATGGAAAGCCCTATGAGACAGAGTTTGGTAGGAAATATTCACTCATAATTGATTTAATCTCTGTGTTGTTTTTAACTGATATTAGTATAGGAATGTGTGTTGTTATTATTGATATTAGTTTGAGAATGTGTGGGTATCATAGATCATAAGTGGATTAAGGGAGTGTGACGTAACCCATAGTGTTTGGCTCCAGTCAAATGAAGCTCACAATGCTAGCAGTTGCAGGAGCAAATTTGGAGCCAAGTCCATATTAGGTATATACTGTTACATACAAAATAGTGTATAATAATGTATTAATATGTAATAATATAAACACCGGGATCATGTAGTGCAGATTAATACGAACATTTTAAGATCAAAATGATGAGGCTCACTGCAGGAGATACAGAGAGAGGGGGGTGACAATTTTCCAATGTAAAGTCAATTGGAAACAGTTGATGGAGCCAGAAGCACCCCCATGAACACTTTCTATTTGGAACGCAGTGCCTAGTGGTTTAGCCATGTTCATTTATATACACAGTCTGTGGTGGGTATTTAATCATTTGATGAAATTTAGACATTTCTGCTGTGTTTCCTCTTTCAGTTTTGTTGTATTTTGTACTATCTATGTATCTGTCTGTCTATTTATCTTTTATATATACATATAACCATATTAAGTTGAAGTATGATGGTTTCAGATGCTGAGCCCAAATATCTAATCGCTGTTCAGCCAATTCCTGCCAATGATGTGAAAAAGCAATGCACAGGTACAAGATAAAGGATTGCGTTCTAAATGTATGTTGACTTTGCAGGAATACTGAAAATACTTCTTGTATAGGTAAAGTTGAATTGGAAAAGCCACTTCATTTGGTCATTGGCTCTGTGACGCCTACATCGGTACTCCTGTCCTGGGGAACACTGCTGAAAACCCCCTATGAGTCCAACATCATGAACGACTGCCTGGAGGATGGGTGAGCTACAATGTTATGCTATTCACAGATGTGATGTAGAGGAGAAAAACAGTCATAACAAGGAAAGACAATTTGAACATTGTATTAGTGCAGATGCTAGAACTGGACAAACAATATATGACTCCCTCAAGTATCTCAGGTTACTGATAGTAGATCCAGAACTGACTGCAAACAGGTGCTGAGAGAGTCCACCCACTCGGCTTACAGAAAGAATGACATTTTCCCATATAAATTTGATCTAAATGTCGTTATAGTGTAATGACCCATTTTTCTGGTCCACCTGGATGATTCAGACAAGCAGCTTTAACCGTGGTTTTCCAATGTCTGTGGCCCAGATACTACACTGTTCGATATCGTGAGAGGAACAGGAAGTGGAATTATCAGACCTGCCCTACGAGTGATACAGTCATTGACAACCTCAAGCCCAATACTGTGTATGAATTTGGGGTTCAGCCCAACACTAAGGAAGGCAATGGACACTGGAGCAAACCTGTCATCCACAACAACAGCAACGGGGGATCGGAGGGTAGGATGCTGAACCTAAAAATATTCTGTTTATAGTAATAAATAGAGTAGAGTGCCCAAAATGTCATCCTTAACCAGGAAAATTCATGAACTGAAACTCTGAATACATTAGGAACTGTTCATTTATTTTATATATCTACTTCATTTTGGTGAATTGTATTTTATTTTGCTTTTAGATAAGACCCAGGTCAGAAAACCAGTCAAACGACCCATAAACCCTGTGGTAAGCAATACTTTTTTCTTTTGCAGTACTTCAAAAATTTACATAAAATAGCACTGCTATATTTACTAAAGGTTCCTAAATAAATATAAAAATAAACAATATTGGCATAATGTGGGTATTCAAAGCAGTTTATGTTTATGATGTTTAGAGTATTCTTTCCCATCCAACTCCTGAATGGAAACAGCAACCAAGCCAAAAGAGAATGTGGAAAAGTTATACTCGTTTCAATGAGATTAAAATGCGTATGTGTAAAATAGATACGATAATAGATAAGTTTTGCTGTCAAGTTTGTAGCTGTGTATTTCAAGTCAGGTAATTATTTTTACAGATAAAGAAATAAAGAACATTTCAAGTGGCAAAACTTCAAAATTTTAAATCACACAGTTAACATAAAATAAGTCTGCATTACAGTTCAGAGTTTACATAATTATGACATTGGTGATAAAATAATTTATACTAAAATCTGTCCTTTTCCTTGTCTGTTGCCTACCAGAAATCTTACGCCAACAACCAACACACCCTCCCCTTCACGCCCCGTCATGGTAAGCCAAAAGCAGTTGTGGTGGAGTCCGGTGCGCCTCATTTACTACCGCAGCCGGACTTTTATATGATACTATAATTTATTGTTGCTTACATGCTTTTCTTTCAGTTCTTTTCATCGACCCTTGACTAAATGCTCCCTGTGAGATCAATTAACAACAACTTTGAGTCATTATTTTAGCTTTACACAAAAGTATTTACTTTGCTTCAGTATTGATGTAAGGCATTATTATGGTACTCAAGATATCATACATTAAAAACAAAAGGATGTTTTCTCATAACAGATTACATAACTCTCTTGCAGGCTCTGATGGCATCTCAAGTGTTGACCTTTGACTTAAACTGTGCATCTTGTCCTTGTCAGTTTCACATAACAAGACCCAGGTCAGGTCGGACCTCTTCCGGAAACTAGCTCCAAAGACAACTCTTGGTAATTACTCTTTTGACCTCAGGTTCAAGTCTCGCCTTCCTATCTTTTTTGTTTCCTTTATGGACAGTCTCAGTTATTTATCTTTTTACTTGACATGTTAACATCTTACCCAGGACTTTGTTAATCTAATTTAAGTAATATTTCTCAGCTCCAACCACTACTAGGCAGGATTCTGTGTTGACACTTCGGCCCACAGTCCCTGTTGTGACCAAACAGCCAGCCATTGGTAAACCATGACAATCCCAATGGGTTTCTTTTCCTAAAAGCTTCATGGCTTTAGCAATGCTTTTGCCAGATACTGTGGAATAAAGTTGGTGCTTTAAAATGGCCTGTGTAATTGCTGCATGCTCAGTAGCATGTTGTGAGTCCAGCAGTTAGGCCCTCTCTGTGGAAACGATGATGGAGTTGGCACTTTGTTAGTTTGTTATGAGGTAGGTGACCTTGGCTGCATGGCATATGTGTTTGATGGTTTGAAATATCAGAGGATGGAACATTATGGTCAAATTTGTGTGTTAAGTTGGCTTGTTCCTATTCACTGTAACATTTCATTATACACCCAATTATGTGTGTATAATGCTTTTAATATCTGTTCAGTATCATGTGTATTTTATTATCTCATTCTTTCCTCATTCAGTTCAGGGCTCTCTCTTAAGAAGTTGTGCAGTCCTACTGAAAATCACACAGTTACCAAATGCTTGTGCTTTCAGTGCAGTGCAGTGTAAAGTCTGCATGACAAGGCTGCATGGACCAGTCATTTTACATTTAGTTTTTTTTTTTTTCAGGTTCAAGAAGATCCAGATACTTTGCCTTAAACATTGTGTCCTCTTCTTACTCTTCTTTCTTCTAGCTTTTCTTTGAACAGTTTGACCAAAGTCTTGAAGCAAATAATAATGAGCCACTGTTATCCTACAAGTAAAACCGATGGATTTTCAATGCCCATCACTCAAAGCCATCCTTGACCTGTAGTTGTGTCTGTTGGCAGTAACATGGTTGTTACATTCAAATGCTTCCATCTGGACTGTCTGCCTTTGAATATTGAGACCCTCTCAGACAAAGGCTCAGTAAATGCTATTGCATAACATATGTGCTCTGGAGTACATGCTCCTCAGATGATTAGGAGACTTAGTTCTAATTCTAGTTTACCGGCTGTTCTGACCTGCTATTTTTCTAAGAATAAGAGTAGTTGTTTTATGTTTGATAATATCTCTCTTTTTCAACAAAACACAGGACGAGAAGATGTCATCAGTTTCATATTGCCTCGCCAGCCAATGAAAAATGTTCAAGAACTTAATCCCAAGATTCCTAAACCAGCCAAGATTCAACCACACATACCAAAAAATCTGTCAGCAACCCAAAGTTATTACTTCAAAACTTCTCCTTTTCAAAAACCTGAGATTAAAACAACACTGCAGCCTTACCCTCCAGCATTCACAACCAAGCTGCCAGCTGCAGTCTCTCCTCCCACACCAAAACCAAAAGCACAGACAACTCCACCAAAGACCTCGGCTGCACCAAAGACCAATCTCCAATCTGAGACCAAGTCCACAATAACCTTAAAGACAATGCTCACATCCAAAGTACAGAGCATCCCATCCTCATTAAAGACACAGGCCCCGCCCAAGGTCCTGCCCAAAGGCACAACACATCGCAAGAGACTGCCAAACCCCCAACCTCATCCCAGGCGCCAGCCTCAGGCCAGCACTGACCCTGCTCTCGCTAAGCATGCTCGTCCCACTGGTAAACGTCCAAAATACCACTTAGGTGCATCCTTTAAAAGAGGCATATTCTATTATTCATGATAGTTACTTAGGTATTTTCAAATATCATATACAACATGGAAAATGTTTTCCCTGTATTTTTAGGTATAGGTAAGTGTATTTCAAATTTAGCAAGACATTTTTTATACTGTGACAATTGAAACACAGCATTGTGCCTCTTTTAAAAGTAGAGAGATTTATACAACTATCTCAACGTTACTGTACAACAAAATATACAGTAAGTTTTCTCTTACACAGCTCCTAGTCCTCCAGAAGAGGGTAAGCCCCTGCAAACACCTGCTCTGGCTACAGAGAAGACCAGTAGTAGCCATCGGGGTAAACATCATAAGTTTGTCCCATTGCCATGTCTGTTTTGTCAGTCACCTACAACCCAGTGAGAAGTGCTACTGCCAGTCTGAGTAACACTTCATGGTTGTCCACCGCTTCCCCCATTTTCATGTGTACCCATTACAAATCATCGCCACCATTCACCTCCACTGCTTGTATCTTGTTTGGCAGCTTGTTTTTTCCAGCCTATCATTCCATTCCTTCATCTTAACTTGTCATCCTGCATTTTGTTCAATCCAGGTCAGAGCCGTTATGCTGAAAAAGTCCCTCCTAACCTTCCCAATGAACTTTTTTCATGTAGGTACTGGCAGCCGTAAACCATCCACTGGCGATGGGGTTCATTCTTCCACTAGCTCATCTACAGTTCCTCCGTCTGGTCGTGTTGCACCTAACCCCTCTCGCACTGGTGACAAACCATTATCTCAGGCCAAGACTTTCCACTCCTCCAACACACCTGGGGGTAATCTCTCACATTTATTTTAATTATTTCTCTTCTCAAGGGTTGCTCTAGTTACAACACTATTCTTTTACAGGAAGAAAATGAGTGCACAACTTATTTGAATGCCTGCGGTTTCCCATTCCTTTGTCTTTTGTTCTCATTTTCCTCCCATATTTGCTCTATGGATTAGGATTGTTAACATGATTTATAGCACCTAAGGTTGGCTAGTTAACTCATAGTTCTGTCCAGGAACACATTTTACACCAACTATGAAAAAGCACTGCGCACACGGAATATCCAAAAAGCTCTTAGTTGTTGAGAATAAGTGAAAACTATGTGTGTGTTAAGTGTCATTGTACACCCAGATGTTATTCCTCCAAGAGACAGTAACTGATTGCACCTTTCTTTTCTGACTTTGTTCCAAGTGGATTTTTATAACAAACTTTTTTCCCTCCAACAGCTGGTGGGGTGCATCATAGGGGCAATGTGCTCCCTAAACCTGCAGTGTGGCCCAAAGAGAAACCTGGTAAAGACCAACCAAGATAACTGCTGCTCAATCTCCTCACGCACTAACCTCAACGGCACCATTATGTCGTGTCCAACACAGCTGCACTGGTCTGTGCTTTGAGCTCCTCTGTCGATTCGCTCTGTGTTTGTCCGCGTGACATTTTGGTCATGGTCTGTGTTGTCCATTATGTGTATTCCCAGTGGCTTGTGCTTGACTGGGATTGAAGCCATCTGTAGATTCCTTTTCATCACTTCCATGTAGTGTCTATGGTGTATTAGCACATAATATGCACCTCTAATGGGAAATTTTGATTGAATTATGTTTAGTCTGGTTTTGGTCAAAGTTGAATGTGATTTTTAGAAAGCTATATTATTTTTAGTCCAGACTGGCTTTTTTAATTAGAGTAATCAACTCAATCTGAAGTAGCAATTGAAGCCCACGTCTGGACCGCGTACAGTGTGTTATTAATGTTGACACTGTTCGCTCCCTCTTTGGAGTCGGGTGCTCGTGCTTCAGTCCCATGTCACAGCTGGTGTGTGTTATTTCTGGAAACTTGGACAGTTTCAGAGGTCTTCAAAGAGTCGCAAGGCTCTATGGAAGCAACTCTACAGAAAATTAAGCTTGGCGAAACCATGCATTGCTAATAAAACAATAAACAATAGAGCATAAAGCTGTGATGGTAAAAATGTCTGCAGGTTGGATGGATTTGGTTGCAAATTATAGTTGAAATTCAATATTGTCAGTCAGTGTTGTCTATGATGATGACTATCAGTGTTGAAGCATCCCTAGGTTAAGAAGTAGTGTATGCATATATTGTATACAGAAGATACACAAGATAAAAACATACTGTCCCAGTATGACTTTTGAAAGACTGTATTTTGATGTAGTGAACCATACTTGGTGAACACATGTTGGTCATTAGCTGATCATGTGAGGCAGAAACATTTCTAGAATGCATGTTTTTCTTTCTACAGATGTTGGCTGAGGTTTGTCACGTAACTTCAACTTGCGTTTCTGTGCCAAAGTCCTTAATTTATGTCGAACAGGGGGAGGTCAGCCACACAGCACTGAGAGATGGATTCAGAGCCAAAACAAATGTTTTTGAGGTGTTTTAGACTTGACGCAGATTGTGAAGTAAATTACACACTGTGGTAACACACAGACTGTTAATAAAACGTGGAGATAAGATGGTGATGAAGAGCAAACGATTTACATCCAGACAACTTCGGGCTTAGTGCTGGGAGGATGGAGAGGAAATGTCATGTGTCAAGCCTCCCTTACTCTCCCTAATTCCTATGTGGTGTTAATGCAGTGTTTGTTTAAGAACATTAGATTTATTACCACTATTCATTAATCAAGTGTGTTTTAAGTTGCACAGATATCCAACAGCCTTTTAGATTACCATCTGTCATACAGAGGTTCAGACTATGACAGTTTCATTGCTTGGCTTTTGTGCACTTTGTGTTTTGTATCCTGTTTATATTTAAAGTTTTTTTTATTTTTTTTAATCACAGCATCCATGGCTTTTGCACTGCTCACCATCACTTTTTGTCCATTCTTCATTAACAACGGCTTTTTTTCAGTAATTCCTAAAAAGGTTCTTCTTTTTCAGCTGTTCTGCAGCCATCCTCTTCAGTCAACAAGAAAACCAATCTGGTTGGGAAGCCTAGTGATCATGGTGAGAGAAGTTGGTGCTTGTACTGTACAGTTTGTGGGTAACATGCTTGAGACTGCAGCTTTAATGAGATATTCCATATCTGAAAACATACTTGTTTAGTAATATAAGATCAGTCACCATCAAATGAAGAAACAATAGTGAACATTAAATTATTTAGGTTCAAGATCTGATGAGATCTCTAATCCTGTCACTAAACATGATTGGTGCACTGTGATCATAATATTTGTGTAATTTTAGACTTGATTGTTTTTGCACTATGCTGCTGCAGTTGATCATGGCCATCTTAGTATAATTAGACACAAGTGAGCAACATGTCTATTGAACTCCTGTTTTTCTTTCTTTCTATATCACAGTAAACCTCCACAGGCTAAGAGCAAGCAACTGATCAGAAATTTGAATGTGGCTTTTGGCCTTGGAGCATTGCTTATCTATTATGTGATCGGCAGGTACCTCCATTACCAAAGCAAAGAGCAATGCTAAAGAGTTTAACAGAGGGACATTAAAATGGCAGCTTTGCACCAATGTCATTTTTGGCGTACGCTTTTGTCTCTCCTACTGAGTGTGTTTCTGGGCATTCTTGGTGTATTCTGGCACATCTCTCCTTCCTTTAAAGAGCACAGGAGCTATTGCACAAGCCATCTCTGATCTTTCAGGCGCCAGGAAAAGGCCATTGGGTTGCTCAGTGAGGATGGCCAGAGCAGATGGAGCTCTATGTACAACTGTGAGTCAGATGATGATTCTGTTCCTACTTCTCACTGTCCTCAGATAAACCCATGGATCTGAAGCAAGGAGACAAGGAGTCCATCTTGAAGCCATTCCCCCAGGTTACAGCCAAGCCTAAGCCAGAGCGCAGGCAGCATACAACCACCTCTGCCCCAGCAGTAAACAGTAGGACAAACATAGATTTCTCTATAGCTCTCTGATATAGATTACTGTGAGGACGAGTTTTCTGATTATTTGAATTTGGATACATTAGAGTGTGGGGGTGATCTAAGACTGGAATATGTTAATTGGTTTAAATTAAAATTAAATTAAATATTAAATTAACAGGTGAAAATAAAATAACGTAGAGATATATAATATAAAAGAGGGCCAGATCAAATCAGTTGCAGACCTGGTCAGTAACAGCAGCCAGGGCTGTAAAACCATGGACACAACGCCCTGCCAGGGGCTGCTGGCACATCTCACAAACCTTATCACCTCTCTGTTGTATCTGCAGGCAGTCGCTTTGACGTCAGTGAGAATTCGTCTATATTCAGACCTCTACCTGCATCAGACGTGGACATAATGGGCAAAAAACGGTTTGTTGGTAAGTAGTAATGAGTAAGAAAAGTGTCACTGAAAGCACTTTTGCAATGCTGAGTTAACCTTTTCAAACCCGACAGCTCCTCATGTGATCTACAAGACGGACAAAAAGCCAGATGAGCCCTGCTCCATCACATCCTCAATGGCTTATTTCCCAGACGAGGAGGGAAATGACATCAGTGTCACTGGGCCCCCCAAAACCCCACCCTCTAATCTCACTGTGGTCACAGTGGAGGGCTGTCCATCTTTTGTCATCCTGGACTGGGAGAAGTCTGACAATGAAACAAGAGGTACTATCTAATGCATTTTATTTATAATCGCTACATGTCTTAAGTTATTTTTCATTTTCTGTAGAGTATGAGGTTGTATCAACTACTAAAGGCCCAAATGGAGAAGAAGTCTCTGTGCTGACTACTAACCAGACACATACAGCTGTGGAGAATCTGAAGCCAGAGAGCAGGTAAAAGCTGATAGACCAGAGCCAGGCAGTTTTATGTATCTGGACTAGTGATGATGTGCTGCAAATTGCGTGTTTTAGCAAAATAATATTTTATGTCAAACATTCTATTCCCTTTCCGGACATGAATTTAAAAACACCCTATTTGTGTCAAACTGAGCACATACATCAAACAGTGAGAAGGCCTGGGTGGAGTGGAATCCTGGGCCTGGATACAGAGGTTTTAATTAGCATCTGGAGTTGAACCCTCAGTGGGATGGTTCTGAATCCTGCTTTTGCCAGAACATCTGAAAACAGCACGTGGAATAACCATCATATTTGTGTTTGCGAGGGAGCCCGCCCCATACACCAATGTGCATGCGCACTGGCTAAATAAACAAGTTATTTACAATGCTTTTGTGTCCTCTTTCAGTTATGAGTTCAAAGTAACACCAAAGAATGAGCTAGGAACAGGACCATCCAGTGACCCTGTGTCTTTTAGCACAGAATCAGGTATGCTTTGATTAAATAATTAAATAATTCTATTAAATGACTCAACTACAACTTTATTTTTTGAAAATATACAACATAGTTGCAGTTCTTTTTGTGCCTTACTTACACCTTTGCCATTATTGTGATGATAATTAACAACTCATATTCTCGTGTTTCAGCGGACCCACGTGTGAGTGAATATGTAGCAGGTACAGATTTTTAATTTTTATTTTATTTTTTATCTTACTTGAATTAACTATAATTAAAATGTTTCGCTTAATTTTCCTAAAGGCAAAGATGCCATTTGGACTCAATTTCCATTTAAAGCTGATGCATACTCTGAATGCAATGGAAAACAATATGTGAAGAGAACTTGGTACAGAAAGTTTGTAGGCATCCAGCTCTGCAACTCTTTGAGATACAAGATCTATCTAAGTGACTCGCTCAATGGTAAATGGCCAAATGGCATGAAGAGACTCAGTAATGTTACTTATATATTATACATTTGTAGTCATCTATTCATTTTGTCATTTTTTTAGGAAAATTTTATAACATTGGTGACCAGACTGGATTTGGTGAGGACCATTGTCAGTTTGTTGACTCCTTCTTGGACGGACGAACAGGAACACAATTGTTTGCTGAACAGCTACCAAGCCGACAAGGTAAAATATTAACCAACTGCTTCAAGTTAATGACTGTGATAAACAACTGAAAACCACATTGATTGTTGTATATTTATTTTTACCAGGGTTTTTCAGAGCTTTGCGACAAGAACCTGTACACTTTGGAGAGATTGGAGGAAAATCTCACGTCACTTACGTGGGCTGGTACGAGTGTGGTACACCCATACCTGGAAAGTGGTAAAAGCATGAAGACCTTTACCTCAACATTTTGGCCAAACACATTTGTTCTGCTTGAAGGTGCTGGGCCTCTTAAACATGGACAGTCAGTGGGCCTGTGCAGAGGCTTTCAATTCCAATGGGAACGTTTGGATCCCATTGGGAACTCAGTTGTGTGTAATTGTAATATTAGTATTATCTATTTATCAAACATGTCTCAGTGGACAGTAGTTTGTGTGATAAGAAAAGCTGAATATAATCAGACAGAACTTTGGGAAGCTGGCTCCCAAAATGTAATAACTTGTATAATATTATTTATCAATGGATTGTTAGAGACTATTCTGTACTACTTAGTACACGCTTAAGTTTCTGCATTTCTAAAATAAAAAAGGATGTTTTGTAAAAAAAAAAAAAAAAAATCTAATTTGAGAAGTTTGTGTGGTGTTATAAAAATGTTGTACATTTTGGGCTTTTTTTCTTTACAAAGGTCTTGTTTGGTAGACAAATAAAAACGCAAACTATAATATTGCAGCATTAATATATGCAATAAATTCTTATAACTCTTAATCAAGCCAACTGTTCTTTACTGGCCATGACTGAAGTCACTATGATTGCAGTTTTTGACCATTACTATGTATATTGAGTAAAAGGATAGGCTACTGTGTGGTGGAATATACTGTATTAAAATATTGGTTTAAAAACTGTAAAATATTTTTATTTACACTGCAAAATGTATATAGTTTAGCATTTTTTTCAAATAAAATGCCAATAAGATTACTGTAAAATTGTGGTGCAATTGGGAGTTTTTTTCTGCAACATTGTAAATTGGCCCCAATATACATTTTTTATGCCAATAGAAACATAAAAATAACATGTATTATAATATTTACATTCAATTCCTCTCACTTAACAAGGCAGACTGACGTGAAAAACCAACCATACACTCCCATGGCACACTTCCCAGCTAACCACAGCCCAGAAGAAGGGAAAACAAAATACCGGCATTACCACACTTTTTCCAAATCCGGCTTGGGAAGAAAGGGCAGATAGAAGCCAAACCTAACACGCAGACATGAACCCAGAAAGCATGAGCAGGACAAGCAGGACTGCTTTCTAAACAAAGTACAAATGTACTATAAATGGGTTTCAATCATTTATTAGGTTCCAGAAAAAGTTACACTTTTTACATACAGTTTATACAAACCACTAATCTCACTCGAAGGTATAATTTGTGTTGATATATTAGTAAAAACCAATGATAAGATAAAGCAGTTGCAAGCCTTAGGGTGTGATTTAACTAAACAAAGAAAGCCTTTTTGGCCACTTTGCCATTACTAGTGTTCCCAACATGGGCAGTTTCATTAATACCGACATGGTGATAATAAAATCTTAAAGGAAACAGAAACAACAACATAAAAGGCTGTAACATTTCATTTAGGTTGTATCTAAGTCTAGATTAAACTATTTTGTTCAGATGTTGATGCTCATCCAAACCACCCAATGAGTTGTTACTGGGGCAACAGCCTGTTTTGGTCTTCCAGGTGTGTGCTTACAAACTGTTTACATTATGACAGATACAAGAGGATTCAGACAAAGAATAAATCAAAACAGAAAACAAATAAAAATGTTGTACATAAGGGCAAGGACAGAGTGGCATCTTAAGACAACATACAAACACCAACCATCAGATGGGGAAGATTTGCTTGTCATGTCTGGATATTTTTTCAATTAGAGGACAGAGCAGTAAACCAGGAATCCTGACCTACTCCAGCTGGAGTCACACAGAAGAGGGGGCATGGGACACAGAGATCAAACAGTGGTTTGACGTTTTTATCGGTATCCGGGGCCAGGCTGAGTGTAGCCTTGGCCATAAGGGGGGCGGTTGCGGGCATAGGGGTTAGCAGCTCCTGGCGGAGGGGTGTTGCCTGGAGGAGGGGTGTATGCTGGGCGTGGCTGGTACCCTGGACCAGGCTGGGAGCTGGGGGGCAGGCTGTAGTTGGCAGGTTGTGCAGCTTGAGAGGTATAGTTTTGAGCGGGGAAGGATCCTGGTGGATACTGCTGTGGTCCCTGAGCTGAATGAGGTGGCTGCTGCCCGCCCTGAAATCCTGGGGTCGGGGCTGGACCAGAGACAGGGGCCTGGGATGAGGGAGGGGCGTAGTTCTGAAACTGCTGCTGTGGAGGCTGTGGTGGGCCAGGCTGGGGCGCGCCAGGCTGAGGGCTGTATCCTGCTGAGAGGGAAAGATTCCAGTTAACTAGACAAATAAAGACTGTCACATTCAATAAAAGCATTCACAATCTCCATCCAAAAGTAGAACTGCATGGATAGTTATGAATAATCAGGAAAAGGAACAAAAAAACTTTAACAGCCATACCAAGTAGCACAGAGTGAAACTTCTAATTATTTGTTTAGCATTCTATATGATGAATAAAGCATGCTCTTACCAGGATATTGCATACCATACTGTTGAGGTGGGGCACCTGGTTGTGGAGGGGGGTACCCCCCAGGAGCCTGGTACTGCTGGTAAACTTGCCCTAAAAATAAAAAAAATAAAAATAAATAAATTATACAATTTATCAAATCAAACATACATAGGATTGATATACTGAATTTTGGTGTCTATTATGATTATGAAATATGAGCACAGTTCAAAATTAGGAAAACTTTTCCACTGAATACACTAATGAGCAAAACACAAGACTTGGCAAAGCAGCCACCTGTGTTAACAAGTCCCAGGTCTTGCCTGACGAATAAACACACTTGACAACAAATAACAAGCAAAGTCCTTGGGTATAACGAGAGGGACACTCCAAGGTCTACTGGTTTCTCTGGACATTCTGAAACTACAGTTTGTTTTCCACTTTTAGTAACATCAGCATTATGGAAAACACAACCTGTGCACTGAAAACAGTTACACATTGTATGAACAAATACCCAACTATATCCCAGCGAAGGTAGAACACAAAAATCACTTGTTACAATATTAAGTACACACTGAAGTAGGAGCCATTTCCTACATTAAAAGCACTTTGAGAGGATATTGTGGTGTTTATTAGGGGCACATGATAGTGGACATTTATAGGCTACTTATACCAATAATGGTATGAGTTACATAAAATTAGCACTTTCTTTACACAAAGCTGTTCCAAAATAGCTTCATCAGAGAACTAAAAGATGCTGTATTGGTGCATCTAGTGCTTAAAAAAAAAAGAAAAAAGAAATATATGTGCAATAGTTCAACCTTGATTATAATAATAAATAAATAATAAATACAAATAAATAAATAGGTGAGGAATAAACTAATGTTCCTCCTTGACTACTTCTTTTGGCACTGTAGCATGCTAGAATTAACATGCAAAATTAATAACACGGGAAATGTTGAACAAAGTGCAAAAATATGAATGTTCTTCTGCTTCAAAGATGCTATTATTCTTCTAAAAATGGAATTGTATTTTTACACACCATCTATGCCAGCCGGGGGCGCTTGTACTCCAGGATAAGGAGGTTGTGGTTGGGGTGGTACTCCTGGCTGCTGAACTGCAGATGAGGAAGAGGCGATACTGTCAGGTGTTCCTGAGCGCTCTTCTGTGGCAACTGGTGGAGGAGCTACAAATAAAAAAATATATAAATTTAACAAATGGCTGCAGCATCATGTATATTATTGTGTATGGACAGCATTCTTACCAGGAGCCTGATCTTCACTCAGGCCAAAAGCTGAGATGACATTCTTGTTGACTTCATCTTGGTTTTTTAGTGGGTCAAAGGCTGACATGCTGGCCGCACTCACTGGAGTGGCGTGTTTAACTGAGGGGTCAGCCACTACCACTTTGCCTTCACGACCATCTACTGTTTCTACAAAGAGAAAAAGATTTACAAAAACCTAATTTGAAAATAATCATCCTCTTTTGACTCGTAAGAATCAGTGTCTACAAAAAATACAAAGCCATTCTGAAAAAACTACATTTGAGTTCAAAAGAGTACCAAGTAAAGCACTCTCACCACTGTCTGGAGCAGCTGGAGTCAGACCGGGCTCTGCTGGAGGTTCCAGGCTGTCCAAAAGGGTATTGACTTTATTTCTAAGTTCAATTAGTTCCCGGCGTAGATACTTCACCTGACTTGATTCCAAAGGTCGTGGTTGACCATTTACTAGAAAAAAAGTATGACAGTAAAAATGTATTTGTTACTTTATACAGAAATAAACATTTTTAGGTAAAATTTGGTTGTGAAAAGACAAGGTAGGTAGAAAATGTTCCATTCTTTTTTTTTTTTTCAGAAACTTTCAGAAAATTCTAGTATTAAGAGTTCAAAGACCTTGTTGAGGTCTGGTGTACCACGAACTAATAACAATTCAATTTCCTCAAAGAGCAGCGAGAAAACGTGAGGCGTATTGCAACTCAACACTGCCCCCAAGTGGCGAAAATAGGCAAATGAACAATCACAACATGCATCAAATTTTTGAAAAAAAAAAACAAAAAACAAAAAAAACAAAACATATTACACCACACTTACCAAACAATGTCAGTTTTAGTATTCTACTACACTGGATAGCAAAAGTAAGGTCTGAACTGTCAAAGATGGTAATGAGGTCATCATCTGAAGAAACAAAAAGAAACACAATACCGTTATGGGTGACAATAAGCCTTTTTTAGTTTATAAATTTTTTGATTAATTTAAAAGGAGACATTGCAGGCTTTTTTCCTAGTACACGGTAATTAACTATAATATACATTAATAGATTTTAGATTTTGTTAGTTTATTGTAAAATGCAAAAGTCATCTTAAACTGCTTAGTAATAGAAATGGGATCATTGATTAATTAAAAAAAAAAAAAAAAAAAAAAAAAGGGCATTGATAAGCCTTGCCTCTTCACAGTGGCATTTCACTGTGGCAAGCATTTTCACTGACATTGTTTCATTTAAATGTATACACAACTACACTCATTTACCTGACCTGTGTGCGTTCCTGTGCTTTTGGTCAGCTGCTGAGAACACACTCTGTCTGTTTGTGACTCACAGAAATGTAATATTCACGAGATACTAAAGGTCTTGCAGTCTATCTTATGTGTTTAAGAACTCTCATTTGACTTCCACCAATGAATGCCCATGATGCTACGACACACTTGTATTTATGGTTTATCTAATATAACATGAAAGCAGGACAAGTACTAGGACTAAGAAAACAGACACCTGAGGACTCTAAGTAATAACACAATAACATAATAGCATGACTCAAACAAAACACAACACTGATTAAGCTAATGATGAGGGAATACTGTTATAACATGACTAAAAGCTCACAAAACTGATGTAGAATAATATGTCTTTTTAAAAAATATACATGAATCCAAATATACAACACACCAACATATACACCTTTACTTACCTTCATCCTTGTATTTTATTGTAACCTCGTCATTACTTTGCAGCTTGCCTCGAAAGACTCGCTGCATCATCAGCACCAGCTCATCGTAAGTGATGTCTTCATTGTGGATGGGGATCCGCCTTATGTCATCGCCTAACTGGGCTTTGATGATCAGCTTCCCGCTCAGGTCCAGCTGGCCGTTCATGGTGCGTCTGTCCTCTTCTACCACCTAGTAAATGGCAGAGTTATAAAGCTAAGAGGTCGTGACAGTCAAGTAGCAAAGTCTAATCTATCTCTCTGTACAGTAGATGCTATGAACTTTGGCCATAGATATGATGTAGGCCTCCACCAGCGAACATTTCACTCAGACAAAAGGACACACATATGACATTTTTAGAAATTACTAAGATTATTATCGGAACACCCGAAAGAGGTGTAGCTGCAGCGAGTACATTTTAGTAGAAAAATGCCGTTTCCTTGTCATGGCCGAGGGAATAATTAGCAGGATGCTAGGAATTTCATGCTAACAATAGCATGTCATTCTGGAGACAATCTAATCCAACGTTAGTAACATTAATTCTAAATAAAAAAAAAAAAGATCACTCCTCAAGACACCCACATATTAAGTGGTAGGAGTCAATCATCAGCAGCATTAACTGAGACAGAATACGCCTAACAATGTGTCATGTGTCAATGGCGTATGAATGACTAGGATCTCCCTAGCCTGTCTGTGAAGCAAATAAAATCTATTCCCAAGACATCCTTTGTGACCATATATTCAAAACAATTACGCAACTCAGCCTTTTTAGTTTATAGATCAGGAGTTCAGAGAGATGTCATGTTGTTTTAATATATACATGAATGACACAAAATATGAAAATGCTAAGTTAGCAACACTAACCAAACCCAGTGACGTATGCATCCATAAACCGTGCAAATATGTGTACACTACCTTTCATAGTATATTTATTTGAATCAAATGTAAAACCCCATCAGAAATGATGGACAATTGTTCGGAAAACATGTTTGCAGGTCACGTTAGCTGTGTGCGAACAGATTAGCCACCCAAAGCTAACCGACGTAGCTAGATTTATACCCATGGCCACATAGCATCAAAAATAGATTAGGTGTAGAGGTCGGATCCAATGATTTGTTATAAAGCTAATCGCAGACGATCACCTGAATCAGACGACTTGACCACGCTGTATTTCACAGGTTTCCCCAAACCGTGAAAATCGGATGTTCTACCTCCTAGCTAAGTGAACCGAACCTGGGCCAGCATCAGGAAGTATCCAGCAGACTCACGTCAACACGTACGTGGCATTCTTTGTGCGCAGACGCAGTTTACTAAAACAAAATTCACCTCCACCAATAATCATTTATTAATGTTATTTTATGGCTTATTTTAAACAAATGTGTTTTGTATTACACAAACGAGTTAATGCAAACTATCAGCCTGTCACAGAAGTTAAAATAATTGTAGTTAAGAGTTAATACAAAGTAGATTATATAAATTATTTTATTGCTATGTAATGTGTACGATAAAATACAATTACAATGTAAACAGCAAAGTTCAAATAAAAATGGATTATTCAAAAGTAAAAGTAGAACATGAGTTAAAAAAACAAAACAAAAAAACAAACAAACAAAAAAAGACAAACAAAAAAACAAAAAACAAAACATTTTAATAAGACTAGTCGATGCCAGACCTATGCTTGGTTTGGTTATTTCTTCTTCTTCTCTTGTGTAGCACTAAACCATGAGTCCAACAGTTTTTTCATGTAATAAAGCTGCCATGCATGTACTTGAACAGCAATCACCATGATTATGTACATGACAGTCACTGCAGAGAAACCAAAAATGAAGCGGTAAGCCTTTCCATGGCGATAAAGCTGCTTTGCAACAGGAAACATCTCCATTCCGCCATAAATTAGGGGTGCTACAGAAAATAGTCCTCCACTGATTAGGGATAAGACAAGGTAACTAATGTTATTCTTTGGAAGAGACAAGCTGCTACAGAACAAAGGAATAAGACTGAGTAGGTATGGATACTCCCATTGATATGGCTTTGATATGATATCATGTGATACTAGATTGAAGTGGCTAACAATCATCTGTGCAGCCACAAGGAGCCAGATTAGAAAATGAACAAAATTCAATTTCCGGACCTCAGATTTCAGGGAAGCACTGCAAAAAATAACAATATACAAAAAAATTACATAAACAAATAAGCACATACAGATCATACAATATATTGAACATTTGTTAATCAAATGTGTTAAGAGAACTGAATTTACCTCATATGAAAATGAGGGATTCCTCTTTCTTGTCTTGGCTTCTTGTCATTTCCATTCAAACCAGTTAATCTGGAACCTCCGTGTGATGTCATGGTGAAAAACCTGTAAAAACATTTATTTATTTATTTTTTAACTGAAACCGTTTCAGAGCATTCATCACTACAAAAAAATAAATAAATAAATAAATAAATCGAATAAACACAAGCCATTCTGAACGCCAATTAACAAAACAAAATGTGTGATGATTACGTGGCACAAAATTAAAATATATTTAATCGTGATAAATCAAGTGTGGTAATATTATTATTTATATTATTTAAAAACATGGTTAACCTATGGATCTATTATAGGCTATTTACATCGGGATAAACCATACACAGTCTATGGGGTAAACAGCCAACCAAGACTTGCTAAAGCTAACCAATAAACCAAATTTAGCCGATTTCAAAGGTCAGTGCTTTTGAAGTAAACAAGTAAATGTAATAAACATTTTATTTAAATAGAGGTAATATTTAGCAGAAATATTCACCTGTATATTGAGTATCTTACACTCCGATTCAGACAAAAGATGATGCAGGATGAGGACGGGACGGTCGACAAATAGCCTACACATTGCGCATGCGCTCAGACTCAACGGAAACCCCTCCCAGAAGCCCAGTATCAGCATCTGTCCTGCTTTTGACCCCTTCAGAATCAAAACCATTAAGATATTATTTTCTACCATATCTCTAACCTGAAAACCAAAACCAAAATATCCTAAGTGTAAGTCTATGGTCCAAACCCAGGGGGTCCAGTACCCCAATTTGAGAAAGGGTTGTAATACGCACATGGGCCTAAGTGGGCTGTAACTTTTTTACTCAGATAAACATTTCAATGTAGATGAGTGGACGTTTGATCAGATGCATAATATGTCAATGCTCATAGCCTCTGATCTGATAATCCCATAATCATGTAATTACAACAGCAGCTTTTGGAGGACATTCATGCTTTGGTTTGTGAATTGGTAATATGCTATTATTATTATTATTATTAGTATTTATTTATTTATTTATTTTTCAAGTTAAAATGATGTGGGCATATGGGCTGCTTTAGCCAATGTAACAGTGCCTTTTTATTGTTTTATCAGTGTGTCTTAGGTTGTACTAAATATGTTTTTGACAGATTAGCTTTTAAATTACATTGTAACTGGCCTAATGAAAACAAGAGAGACATAAAATAAAATGTTTTATTAAAAACAACATACACAATAGCCTATTAACAAATCACAAATATTATGACAACACAATTGGTTTGGTTACTTTTGGTTACAATTATATATTAGCGCCATGAATAAAAGTAGAAATATATATATTTTTATTTCTTGCAGATTACCTGTAAATAAATAAATTACAAAGTTGTGTCTTGTTGAATCTCATATAATTCATGGTTGACATACTGTACCCTAAAATTTGACCCTAGCTATTAGCTGTGATTCAAATCTGATAGTCCAAGAAATCAGAACGAGTATGGTGAATTATATTTGACGCTTACTGGATTGTTTTGACCAGAGATAATTTTAGAAAAGAAAAAATGTACATTGTGCTCACTGTGTTAACTCACTGTATATTACCCAAGTCCTGTTCTCACATTAAATGTAATTAGTTTTATACCATGTTGTGGGCATCATTTCCAGAGTCCATTTGGAGAATAATTATATATTTAAGAATAATTTACAAGCCTCCACTACAAGTTCTCTTTACTATGCAGTCCTTTGGAAATAAAAATTGTCATTCAATTATTTTACATTTGCATCTGTAACCATACCCCACATTCTTTTCCACCTTTTTCTTACTCATAACAACAAATACCTGCCACCTCCACAAACAATCACATAGCTTTACATCATTTCACATTCTCCTCTTTTTTTGGGTAGCTGCCACTTTTTTCTTGATAATATTGGGTGCCAGCCAAACAGTCTGATTTGTATACTTTCCTTTGATATGAGTCCATATCTACTGGAATTATAAAACCTTAACATGTCTTTAGATCATTCTGAAGATATTTTATTACCTTTTGTCTAAAAACACTCAATTCAAACATTTGTATACAATATAATCAAACAATTTGCTGTATGTTTGTAGTGTGCCCCACAAAAATACAGCATATTGTTTTACATAGGATATAACAAATACCCAGAAAATGATGAGTGCACATATTGCCCTGCATAAAGTCCTGCAGCCTGATCTGAAGGCAGTTGTAGATATACAGTGTCCCCTGGTTGGAGAGGTAGTACTGCACTTCCAGATGCTTGATCCAGAAAACCCTTTTTATATTCATCGTATGTATACATTACTGGTTCATTGTTCCTCATCAGGGACACCCACACATTGGCTCCTTTGCACTGAACATGGTAGGCAAAGTAATAAATCCCTGGTAACTCACAGGTGAAAATTCCAGTTTGCGAATTATAGTTTTGCCGTCCATTGTACAAAAGCCTATCAAAGACAATTGGACTGCCAACTGGTGGAAAAGGTGTCGTTAGAATTGCAGTGAATGCTGGCATTTCCAATCCACTAGATCCCATAACCTCTGCACCATTGGTACCAAACTTGCCCTTCTTGCCATAACCTCCAGCCTTCACGCCATCAAGTCCAGGTCCCATCTCAGAGAGTACTCCAGACATGTCAGGTGCTAATCCAGGTTCTCCAGGTGGACCTGGTGGACCAGGCAGACCTGGTTGACCTTGGGGTCCAACTGGACCTTCTTTTCCAGGGGGACCAATTGGGCCAGGGTGACCAGGACTTCCCTCACCTACAAGACCTGGTGGCCCAGGTGGGCCACTCTCTCCTTTAGGACCGGAAACACCAGGAGGTCCAGTTGGCCCTGTTGCACCATCTAATCCTGGAATTCCTTTAGGACCTTGAGGTCCAATCTCACCAGGCAAACCATCCAGTCCATTAGTTCCTGGAAGCCCTTGAGGACCAGGCTGACCAGGAAGACCTTTGTGTCCACTCTCTCCTTTCGCACCTGCTGGTCCTGGTGGGCCTCTAGGTCCTGGTTCTCCACGATCCCCTGGAAGTCCATTTCTACCAGCTAAGCCAGGGGGTCCAATATCTCCCTTGGCTCCATCGAGACCTTTAGGTCCACCTTCTCCACATTCCCCTTTTGGTCCAGGTGCACCTAAACCTCCAGATGGGCCCATAGGGCCTGAAAGACCTGTTGAACCCTTTGGTCCTGGAAGCCCAGTCATACCAGGAGGTCCTGCAAGGCCTTTATCTCCTTTTGGTCCCACCAGCCCTGGTGGACCATTCATACCTTTATCACCTTTTGGTCCTGGGAGTCCAGGCTTACCAAATCCAGGTAATCCTGGCTTTCCTGGTAGACCTGGAGGTCCTGCGTGACCTTTAGCACCTGGAGTACCTGGTTGTCCAGGAAGGCCATTTGGACCTGGCTTTCCTACACCGGCTAAACCTTGTGGGCCTGGAGCTCCAGCCTCTCCTGGTGGCCCGGCTGGTCCTTGCAGTCCTGGATGTCCTTTATCTCCTGGTGGACCTTTTGGACCAGGTGCTCCATGTAGCCCAGGTTTTCCAAAACCAGGAAGTCCTCTTGGTCCCGCTGGTCCTGCAGGCCCTGGAAGTCCTTTATGACCTGGCTGTCCTGGCATACCTATTCCTTTGTCTCCTTTGGGTCCTGGTAAACCTGGTAAGCCTGGAAATCCTTTGTGTCCTGGATCACCTTTCGGGCCCGGCTGGCCTGGTAGTCCTGGTACACCAGTTTTACCTATTCCTGGTAGCCCAGGTGGTCCTGGTGGGCCTTGGGGTCCTTGCTGTCCACCTGGTCCCATCTCTCCCCTAGGGCCCATTTCACCTTGCATTCCGGGCTCTCCATCTGCTCCAGGTCTGCCTGGTAGTCCCTGCGATCCAGGTTTTCCCAGTCCAGGTAATCCTGGTGGACCAGGTGGTCCTGGTCTTCCCTCAGGTCCTGGTAGTCCATTGCCCGAAGGCCCAGGAGGACCTGGAGGCCCCTCTGGTCCTGGGGGCCCCATTGGCCCTGGTTCACCCTGAGGAACTCCTTCAGCACCACTGGGAATGGTCTGACCTGATTGGAATGAAATGTAAACTATGTCATATTCATATTCTTATGTGATATAATTTACCAAATAATACAAAAAACTTTGATACCTTTGTCCTGGCCACCATTAATAGCACCCCCATTTCGAGGACCTTTGCCTTTCACTGGCATCTGTGGCATCTCCTTCCGATAGTGCGGGTACTGCATGTATGGCATCTCTTTGCCCATGTACTGTTGCTGAGGGAAGCCCTCCTTGCCCATGCCCATATGTTGTTGGTACTGTTGCACTGGCTGGTATTGTTGAGGATGTTGCTTGTAGAACGCCCCATTAACACACGTGAAGACTGCCAGCTGCAGGGACAGGAGGAGGGGGGCAGGGAGGGGAGTCATGACGAAGGCCTGGAATGAAAGCAAACAACAAATTTGTTGAAATACAAACACAGTACAGTCTCAGTTTGCATACAGGTAATAAAAATCCAGGGATTTAAAAAATAATATTAATCTTAATCCAGATCACTCAATATGTAAATATGAAAAAGAAAATGAAGTTGTTGTGCATAAAAGTAAAAATAAAAAATAAACATCTCAATATTTATTTTGAATATCTCAATGGCAATAATCAAATATCAGATAATAATCATGATCATCATCAAAGATTAGACATCAGATATTATGGCAATTCATTAGAAATGTACTAAAATGTGTAAACATCATGGTTGAGGTTCAAGCATCACATAAAAAATTTGTCACTTTATAGATACATTTTGCGTTCTTACATTTATATCTCCAAAACAGCTGTGATATTACCGACATGATATATCAAATATGTTCAGTAAATTTAAATGACTTTGTCCAGTGACTCCTTGAGTCTGACTTATATTTAGTCAAACAACTGATCCACAAGGGGAAATAATTTGATACAGTAGTAAGTTAGTGATATGTTTATTTCTATTTCATATTTTTCAATCCATCTAGAGCCACATAGTGGAAGCATCGTCACTAACTCTTTGTGAGCCTTGCCCCATTTCTCAGCAGACTGGTGATTTTGACATGGTTGTGCCACTAACTCCCTGATGACAGTTTGTCTTTGAAAGCAGCCCAGTATAGCATCCGTGGTAACACAAGTCAGACGTGATGAAGAGGCCAAAGAAATACTTCATTCAAGAAAAATTATTCTTAATTTTTACAGTTAGAGAAGGAGAAGTGTTGTCAAGGCTGATAAAAAACAATATAATTGTATAGGCTATATGCTGATATACTGATGCTACAGGATTCATGATATTTGTATCTATGCAAAACTTTATGGCACTATACATATTCTGTCAACCTTAGCTGCTACAGGTCAGAGGTCCAAACAGATGCGGTCTGTTAGAAGCAAGTTGTCATGGCAGTTGTCAGGTGATGGAAACTCTTGCTGTCTTCTTGCTAATTGGATGTATTTTTTTTTCATTATTGCATATTAGCAGCTGAGTAGCCTATTCATAAAGTCTGACACAAACATTAACGGGTAAATTCCACTTTACAACTTGTTATTAGAGAAAACAGCAAGAGAAGGGGCTGCTCTCACAACATTTTACCATATTTTACCAGTGCCATCCATTGCTCCATGCACAAACAGAAAACATTTTTTAGCAAAGACTTTGAACAGAAACAAATTTCATGTTTTCAAATTATGGCAGATTTCAATTACATCTCATCTGTCTTCCTTCAAAGCTGACTTCAAATGATTCATGCAGTTCCATTCATAATTTTACTAGATGTTGCAAGGGGCATGGCTACACCCATATTTTCTGTTGACACTGGTCTTGCCAAAAGCACGTGACCTCTGACATATATACGTAATGTAGTGTGAGATGTAGTACAGCCCCAGACAGTTCAGAAAATAATCAAACGTGTACACGAATGTTTCCTGGACCACTTCCAGATGTGTGTCTTTATGACAGCCATGACTGTAACAACGTGTGAAGCCTTAACAGAACTTACTGCTAGTGTTCTGCTTTTGATTATAATAAAATTAACAAAGCCTCAGTATTCCCATACACAAGTACTCAAATAATGCCCAAAACTACTTTTGAAGAACTGCATTTGAAAGTAGTAGTAAAGTACTCGTTTCAGATGAATTCATACAAAGCCTAAATGCCATATAACCATGAATTCAACCTTACTGTAAACAAAAAAGTGCTTCCCTCCTAAACACCCTTATGATTTCAGGTTTGAAAAACAATACTGAAGGTACTAAATGACTGCATCAGTACTACTACTTTGGGGTTATAAAATAGCTATAACTATTATTGATAATGTATCTATAATATTTCTTATCACAGTTTAATACATTTGTTCAGTACAATACATCAGGTACATGTCAATATTAATCATTTAGAGCACAATGGTAAAAACCTTTGCCTTGAGAGCAGGACCGTTACTACACAAATAAAAGCAGTAAAATAACATGGTGTGGTAAATAGTCAGGATAATAAATATTAGCCGTTGGTCTGGCTCCTCTGCTCAGACACATCTGTCTCTCTGTCTGTCTCACTGAACAGAGAGTTGACTGTTGTGGCACGTTTTCACCCTCTGCCTAATTCCTCTCCTCTCTGAGGCAGTGGGCCCGTCTGCCCTCCTGCCCCTGTCCCAGCTCCTCAAGCATCCCAAGTCACTGACCTACGCCACTGCATGACCTTGTAAAGTGCAGTGAAACTCCGCAGTTGACTGTGTGTTGGTACATTACCATGCTAACGGAACACCAACGATGAGCAAAAGGGAGACAAGTATAGGTATAAAAAAAAAATTATATTAAAAAAACATCAATATCAATATGATGATGCTATAAAACAAAATCATTTATTACTATTACTGTTGCCACTCCTGCTACTACTTTGCATTTTAAAATGCACTCTAGTTTAATCTATAAAGGGGCACTATGTAACTTTTCCCCAACCAGCTTGTCTCCATGGAGAAGTTAACTCCTTTGCTTATCTATAATGTTCTACAATATGACATTAACCTTGTCTCCATAGAAACAAACCGGAAGTGCCATTCAGGTCAAGTTACAGGTCTGATCTGTGAAAAGATGACCCCGTTGACAAAAAGAGTGCTTTTTTTTCTCTTTCTTTTTTTTGATTCATAAAAAGATAGATAAGTTACTGCTTAAATAATTTACTACTTATAATACTATGGAACAGTAAAGCAATAACATTTCACTGGAAACAGGCCAATGTGAGACTCCCATCAGAAAAATTACATAATTCAGCTTCTTCAAGTTCTTGCTAATTGCACTGGTCAGCTTTATACAATTAATATGACAACATGCTTTCTCCGTGTGTCTAAACACCTTCGTAAGCCATAGTTTAGATTTTACCACAAAACACACCTCATAAAATTAACCCCTCCTCAAGTTACGCTGCAAACATTCTCACTCAAACAAAGCCAATATAAAAAGCAAAGGATACACATGGAGTGCCACAGCTGTGCAGCTAAATAACCACAATGTTTACTTCTTCCTGCTCCCATACGTCCAATCTTTTGTCCCATACATTCCTGTAGTAGTGCTGAATAGAGCTGAGTACAGCAGTAGCCACAAACAAGGCGTACTAAGGTCAATGAAGGGCCAATGAATTGATGCAATATATTATGTAAAGTAAGGTTCAATTTACAGTGGAGGTTAGTTTGAGAAAAGTTTGCATTTGAATCAAGAGCATTGTAGTGGTAGTTACAATTGTGCAGTTGCAGTAGCCATAGTGATACCTGTAAGCAGCAGCAAAAGAATGTTAAAGCCAGCAGTAGCAGAAGTACTAGAGCATTGTCCAAACTATGGGGGTCCAAATGCGGCCCTGAGACTTTTTGGTGAGTTGGCCCACGTTAACCATGGACCTACTTCTTACAGTTACTGTCACTGTCTCTTGCAATTTAACTAACAATTTTGGTCTGCTATATTAAGGCTCTGACACTGAATTAGATGTGGTGATACTTAAAAACCACCAGTCACCACCAAACCATTGACCACCAGTCTGAGGCCCTTCACATGGTTTATGTTTCAACATGAAAAAACTTTCAACCTCCCTGTACTAGAATGTGGAGTTTGCACGAACTTAACATTCACTTTGATACTATTTTATACAACTTAACATGAAACTGACCTCTATTTGCTATTTTACCAAATTTGTAACCAAAAATAAGTTGTAAGCTTACTAAATACTGTGTGTAGATAGATTTCATTATGCATATGCACACAAAAACAATAATTTGTACTTATAGGGGTGAATGATTTTAGAAAAACATCTATTTGTGTTTTTTTTTTTTTGACAAGCATTGTGACTTAGAATTGTAATTTATGTTTAAGTAATAGGACTGTGTTAAAAATTCACATTCAGGTCCAGAGGAATTGACAAACAACTGAAAATTACACACTGACAAACTAATGCAATCCCATTTCAGAACATGTTGATATAGATCTAAACTACAAGATCAGCAGAGTTTTCATGCAGAAAGGAACAGGATATTTAGTTGTTAATGAATGACATTTCAACCTTTGCTATTTACAAGCTCAGTCCATTCAAACTGCAACTTTGCTTCAGTTGTGATTAATCTTGTAGCCCTACTTTGGTATAACAAACAGCAGCATCAGCAGCAGCTACAATCCCAGTGGTGGATTAGCCAATGCTTGTGACCAAAATGACTCCTTGTTTCGCCCTCTCTGGTTTCAAGTAAAGAAAATTCCACCTTTGAGCAGCTGAATACGTGACGTTATAGTTCAGACATCAAGCGGATGTGAGGAGTGAAAAAAACATAAGAAATCAAATCAGCTGGAGCCGGGTCTGCTCAGGGCCTGAAGATAGTGTTTGCCTGGAGTCTCTTCTCACCAAACTGCTGCTCTTTTCTCAGTCCCATATATATCTAACAGTTTACCTCCAGCCATTAAGATCCACAACACAAGCACATGCATATTTGCTTCAGTTCAACCATGCAACCATCTTCACACAGACAAGTATAGAAAACATCTGGAAAGTGGATCCTCTGCATGTAGCCTACTGTATACCACATATTCATATTAGCTAAAGGCCATATTGTGAACATCTTATTTGATCCCACACCTGCCATTAAAATTTACAAATTTTATTAGTCCAAACACTACGAAGAACTTTTTGAACTGAATCAATAGTGACATTTTTTATCAGTTAGATACACTATGAACTATTGGTAAGTCTGCTTCTTGCAAAATTTGTGTTTAATTTCCAAATTATTGCATATAAACTAAATAAGGATTAAAATGGCAGTGCTTACCTTTGAGAGTGGCCGTTTATGATGTAAAATGACTGCAGCCTCACCCCCAGACAAAGACAACACACACAGAGTGAACCCTTGGATGCACACCTTGTAGTTAAAGCTTATAT